CCTCAGCCTCACGATTAGCTGGGATTACAGGCTTGCACCACCAGGCCCGGCTAATTTTGTATTTTTAGTAGAGACAGGGTTTCTCCATGTTGGTCAGGCTGGTCTGAAACTCCTGACCTCAGGTAATCCGCCCGCCTCAGCCTCTCAAAGTGCTGGGATTACAGGTGTGAGCCTCTGTGCCTGGCCTCTATTTTTAAGAGACAGGGGTCTTGCTCTGTTGCCTAAGCTGGAGTGCAGTGTGTTATAATTCACTGTAACCTCCAACTCCTAGGCTGAAGCAATCCTCCCACATCAGCCTCCCAAGTAGCAGCTGAGACCATCTGTTCATCCCACCATGTCCAGTTAGTTTTTTTTGTTTTTAATTTTTTTTGTAGAAACAGGATCTCACTATGTTGCCCAGGTTGGTCTCGAACTCCTGGGCTCAAGTGATCCTTCTGCCCTGACCTCCTGAAGTGCTGGGATTACAGGCATGAGCCACTGTGCCCAGCCTCAGCTTGGTGTTTCTTAATCCACTAGTTGGGTTCTAGGAGCGAGGAAGGAAACCTCCTCCCATTTGGAGGGGCAGCAGCTCCTTCCAATGTCTGCACTTCCAAATGGTCACCTGGATACATCTGTGAGCAAATACTAAAGGCTCTACTGAGCGTCTGCTGCATGCGGAGTACTGCTGATCAATCTGGACATGACTGATTTGGCTTATTACGTCATTTTTATTGTTGACCTTATCACTCTCATCATTAAAAATTACGTGTCAGGCTGGGCATAGTGGTTCACATTCATAATCCTTGCACTTTGGGAGGCTGAAGTGGGCAGATCACGAGGTCAGGAGTTCGAGACCAGCCTGGCCAACATGGTGAAACCCCATCTCTACTAAAAATACAAAAATTAGCCAGGCATGGTGGTGTGCGCCTGTAGTCCTAGCTACTCAGGAGATTAAAGAAGGAGAATTGCTTGAATCCGGGAGGTGGAGTTGTAGTGAGCTGAGGTCGCACAACTGCATTCCAGCCCGAATGAAAGAGCAAGACTCCATTTCAGGGGAAAAAAAACTACATTCCAGACATCTTAATTTGCGGAAACGGATTAGACTAAAGAGTGAACTTGAGATACAACCTAACCTCAACCCACAAGTTATACCTACACCATCTTATTTAATCTTCCCACAAAAAACAAGCCTACTAATATATATTAAGATCACAGGGGTGAATATTTAAACAGAATGGAATAAATGGCCTGGGAGCACTATAGAACTCTCTATTCATCCCAGCCTTCACTTTCAGCTCCTGATTGAAGGCAGAATGGCCTGAATGTTCAGGTGTCAGCATTATAGATGGTTCCTTGTTCATCCAGTAAATCTCATGGCTTAAGAATTATTTTCCATTGCTAACACATATACCCATCTCCAAACCTGCCAAAATCATCAGTATGCAGAATGACAGGCCTCATGGCTCAAGTTGTGAGATCTACCAAATCCATTTTAGCACAGAGAATATACTTGTCATCACGATCTGAAGATCAGCTCAATGTCATGGTGCCACACGGCTTACTGTCATCATTGTAGGCAGGATGAGACAGGCTGAGTAAATGGCCATTATACAATCGCTAAAAACATAAACTCTCCCCCAAAACCGACCATTTATAAAACAGAAACCAGCCGGACAATGGTGGCTTATTCCTGTAATCCTAGCACTTTGGGAGCTGAGGCATGCGTATCACTTGAGGTCAGGAGTTCAGGACCAGCCTGGCCAACATGGTGAAACCTTGTTGCTACCAAAAATACAAAAATTCGCTGGGTGTGGTGGAGCACACTTGTAATCCCAGCTACTCGGGAGCTGAGGCAGGAGAATCATTTGAAACTGGGAGGCAGACATTGCAGTGAACTGAGATTACCCCATTGCACTCCAGCCTGTCCAACAGAGCAAGACTCTGTCTTAAAAAAAAAAAAAAAAAAGAGAGAGGAACCAATCATTGGAATAACATCTTACGTACCATAACTTTCTCCTAAAAATCACTAGTACTTATATATTTCTCACTAACTTTCCTTCTTGCATGTACTGTATTTTTATAAGACTAAATATCAATATTAAATCAAAATAACCTGCTCACAGAAATCGATGAGTCAAAATTGGGAGGAGGAAACTGATTTGGTAATTTTCAACCCAAGCCATTGTTGAACACAGTGCCTCAGGGACTTCTATTTCTAAAATAACCACAAAGATACAAGAGGAAAACAAAGAAAACCTTCGACTGACATTTTCTAGGGCCAAAAAGCTGCAAATAATAGCAGACAGGGTTTGAAAAAGCAGAGGATGGAATAAGCAAAATGTTGTAAAGGAGGAGGAAGGAGATTTGCTGAGACTCATCAAAAATCCCCTGGAGTCTATACACATAACTCAGAGCTTAGAAAACCTAGCATTTTGCTTTCTTCTTTAAAAGTGTGGCCGGCCAGGCGTGGTGGCTCACGCCTATAATCCCAGCACTTTGGGAGGCCGAGGCGGGTGGATCACAAGGTCAAGAGATCGAGACCATCCTGGTCAACAAGGTGAAACCTCGTCTCTACTAAAAATACAAAAATTAGCTGGGCATGATGGTGCATGCCTGTAGTCCCAGCTCCTCGGGAGGCTGAGGCAGGAGAATTGCTTGAACCCAGGAGGCGGAGGTTGCGGTGAGCCGAGATCGTGCCATTGCACTCCAGTCTGGGCAACAACAGCGAAACTCCATCTCAAAAAAAAAAAAAAAAAAAAAGTGTGGCCTAAAAGTTTGTTATTTGTGTTATGTGGGGCTATTTATATATACCTGTATTATTTTTAGGATGCTATTACCAAAAGGAATCCTGAGCTACCTCTTTGTTTATCTTTTACCATTGTACTTGATTTTACTTATTTATTTTGACAGGGTCTCACTCTGTCACCCAGGCTAGATGCGGTGATCACGTCTCACTGCAGCCTCCGACTCCTGGGCTCAAGTGATCCTCCCACCTCAGCCTCCTGCAGAGCCTGGTCTACAGGCGCATGCCACCACGCCCAGCTAGACGTGAACTCATGTTAATGAGGGTAGCAGATTCAGAGGGTGACTAAAGGAAATTTCCTATTTAACAAGAACTTTTGACTAAGCAGGATTTGTATCCCCTGACTCTCAACTCGACTTTTGAACAGCAAGTGACAAAATATTAAAAAATAAACTGATGATGCTTACTCTGAAAAACAAAACAAAAAAACCAGGACACAGCTAAAATCAGCCACAAAAGCGTCAGTTTCCTAGGGCTTACAGTTCAATGTGTGGTCCCTGGACCAGCAGCCTCTGGTGGAAATGTGGACTCTCGGGCCCTGCTACCACCACACTAATCATAACCTGTATTTCAACAAGCACCCAGGTGCTTCATGTACACTGAGGTCTGAGAAGCACTGCTTGAGGGCACTGCCTGCTTCCTGTGCCATGTCCAGAATTAGTACCCAGATGATGACCTGGAGCCACAATAATACTTTCAAATAAAAAGGACCATTAAGGCCTTAGATAAAGAATTTTAAGGAAGTTAAAAAGAAAATGGCATTTGGAATTAAGTATATTACACAAAAGGCAACATATTTTTTCTTCTTTGAGACATAGTCTCGCTCAGTTGCCCAGGCTGGAATGCAATGGCGCAATCTTGGCTCACTGCAACCTCCGTCTCCTGGGTTCAAGCAGTCCTCCTGCCTCAGCCTCCCAAGTAGCTGAGATTACAGACACCCATCATCATGCCTGGCCAATTTTTGTATTTTTGTAGAAACGGGGTTTCATTATGTTGGCCAGGCTGGTCTTGAACTTCTGACCTCAGGTGATCCACCTGCCTTGGCCTCCCAAAGTGCTGGGATTATACGTGTGAGCCACTGCCCCCAGCCAAAAGGTACCATTTTTGAGGCAGTCTAGTTGACTAAAGCACTACTATGCTGCAAAAGAAATGCTTAATAAATGCCTATAATCAAAATTGATGCCCTACATTCATTCACATAACATTGCGTATTACAAAACTCAATTCCTTGCACTGGGTCTTTTAAGAAGACTCTCCCAGGGGAACAACCCATAATGATACATGCCTTACATGTAATTCTACTTCAGAACTGTTATGACAAGACACTAGTGAGGAATTACTTTTAATTAAAAAGAAAACCTGTTCTCTGCCAATACAAATGATCTATTATATCATACTTCCTTACCATATTATAAGAGGTTTACTGAATAAATGATCTATGCCCATCATACTCCCTCCCACGCAAAAAGAAGGTTGGAAATCTGGTACCCTACAATGAAAAAGGAAGTAACTAGAAGGAAGAAATCCAATGGCAGCAAGTGGGAGCATCTGCTAAAGAACAGCCTACAAATGCTGCCATGGTCATGTAGTTTGCTTCTGCATATTTTTCTAACAATCTTGGATACTTCATCAGGTTGAATCTCAACTAACACACATTCACAAGAATGTACATATGGACATACACACACTCAGTAACTACAACATTTCCTATTCTCAGGCTAAATCTTCCTCCATAATTAGAAAATAATTCCCCAAAGAAACAAATGAAAAACCCAAAGTATAGTTTAGACCAGCTCATTGTCGCCCCAAAACAACATAATGTCATTAAGCCATCATGTCATGCTGATCAAAACAAGTGATGGGCAACATAGTGAATGCAAAGCACTCCACCACTTTACTAACTGTGGACAAGTCTGGCATCCTGGGCTTTACATCTGCTGTCACACTCTTGAGGATGCCCCATGCTAATTATTCATGGAGAAAAAGCATCCCTAATGTCGCCTTCCCTCCTATAAAGGCTCAAGAGGACAAAGGTAAACAAGGGACAGCTGAGAGCTTCCAAGGCCAGCACCCCTAGGTTTTAAATAACATAGGCAAGCATTTCACAGTGGCATCATGGGCTTGCAACTATGGAGAAAAATGTACAGGAAAAGCCCTCACCAAGGACCCCACACACATATGAAAAAACGTCAACCACAACAAAGGAACCCAGACTCACGTGAGAGGAATAGCGTTTGTTTTTGATTGTCTTCTGCTTTTCAGGGCCCGAAGTCTATCACCTTGTGTCATTCCATTGATTTCGTCGTCATCGCTGTACTGTGTAAGTAAAAAAACACTGAGCTCATGATTTAACTTGCATTTATTAATGCAGTGAAGCACCGCGGCAGTTGAGCCACATAAACACAGACAGTCCAAGTTTCTGCGAACTCTAAAATCTTTTTCCCCTTTCACAATCCAGGTACAGGTCACATTTTAAGACAGCCCAAGCTGACTTTCGGAGACAACCCAGCAGCATTCTCATTATAAAACACATCAACAGTGAAGAGGGATAATGGGCTTTCAAGTCTGAAAACATTCTTTTTAACATTTCACAGTCTACTTACTGCCACTTAATGCAGTACTGCTACCCCTAAGGCCTTGATTTGTTAAAAGCTCTCCATTTGAGAATGACTGCTTTCCTAAATAAGTGGTCGTGAAATGGCAAAAAGGAATGGGGGCAGGGGTAGATCCGGCTAAAGAGCTCACTTCACAACCTTTTATGCACCTGCCGAGTGAATAAAACATAGTTTTATGAATATACAACCTTGTTTCCACTATTTTGGGTAAAAAGTACCTGGAGAGGGTCATAAATATAAAAAACTGACAATCATCCCCAAGAGCTGCTTTATTATTTTACCTCCAGTTTTCTCCATGCCCTGACAGGGTCTCAACAGCAGTTAAAGCAATAACAACATCGTGACAGAAATGGCTTGATTACCGGTTCGGGCTCTTGATGGTCTTGATTCTTGACCCCATTTATGGAAATGTCATCAACACCAGAGAGAAGTTTGGAGAAGGCTGCTCTGTGCTGTCCATTCTCCTGCCCCTTTAACTTCTGACGAAAATAGTCCCCTTCCAGCCAGAGGCTTGTTTGCTTCCTAGAGCATTTAAATAACATCAATAGAGCTTTCCAGAAAGACACATGAACGATTTCTTCCTACTAGACAAGCTGTTGTTACTGGAGACTAAGGGAAATTCCACTTGCTGGACATGGTGGCAATAGAGCTTCCAGCCCCATGAGCTCCCTTGGAACTATAGATGCTTCTACTTACATCACCAAAAACTGCTGCTGAGGCCCAATCACTGAGCCAGGTCTGCAGATCCTGACCCACGCAATGGTCTCGGCTGCTGTCATCCTGTAATGCTTCATGATGTAGCAGGCTATCAGAGTGCCCGTGCGACCAAGGCCAGCTGGGAAAAAAAAGCAGCACAGAAATGAAACTCGGGCTCAAGTACTCCAGGACTTTGTTGGGCATATATAATTTTTTTCTTTTATTATTATACTTTAAGTTCTGAGATACATGTGCAGAGCATGCAGGTTTGTTACATAGGTATACATGTGCCATGGTAGTTTGCTGCACCCATCAACCTGTCATCTACACCCCCGACAGGTCCCAGTGTGTGATGTTCCCCTCCCTTTGTCCAAGTGTTCTCAGTGTTCACCTCCCACTTATGAGTAAGAACATGTGGTGTTTGGTTTTCTGTTCTTGTGTTAGTTTGCTGAGAATGATGGTTTCCAGCTTCATCCATGTTTCTGCAAAGGACGTGAATTTATCCTTTTTTTATGGCTGCACAGTGTTCCATGGTGGAATACTGTGTATTCTATGTTGGGTGGAATTTTTTTAAAAGGCTTCCCATGACTCTGCTTCTCAACAGTGGTTCTCAAGGCTGCTTACACCCTGGAATCACCTAGAATGGTTTTTAAATACTGATGCCTGCTCTCACGACCAGAATTAATTAATTTCATTTAATTAAGTAATTATTTATTTTGAAACGGAATCTTGCTCTGTCACCCAGCAGACTGGGGTGCAATGATGGGATCTCGGGTCACTGCAACCTCCACTTCCTGGGCTCAAGCAATTCTCTTACCTCAACCTCCTGAGTAGCTGGGATTACAGGCATGTGCCACCATACCCGGTTAATGTTTGTATTTTCAGTAGAGATGGGGTTTCATCATGTTGGCCAGGCTGGTCTCGAATTCCTGACCTCAGGTGATCCACCTTCCTCGACCTCCCAAAATGCTGAGATTACAGGCTAGAGCCACCCAGCCGGCCTTACACACAGAATTTAGATTTAACTGGTGTGCAGCACAGCTTGGACACAGAGATTCCTAAAATCCTCCAGATGATTCAACGTGTTGCCAAGGTGGAGAATCCCTTTTTAAGCAATGATCTCAGTAAAAGCAGTGTCTTCTGCCCTGGGCATTTTAGAAAAACTGGTACCACCATCTTTGCAGAAGCAAAGTCTTGCAGTTTTGCACTAATTCCCACATCCAATTATATTTTCTAGTCTGTTATATCCATTTCACTCAGATTTTTTAAAAACTCTGTTGATTGCTGGCCTGCCTTATCTAGACTATTATCATTACCTCTGGTGATGGTTAATTTTATGTGTCAATCTAGAATGAATCTTTGGAGACTATCATTTAAGTTGGTGAGATTTCAGTAAACACAGTGCCCTCTATAATGTGCTGGGCCTCATCCAATCAGCTAAAAACCTGGGCAGAACAAAAGTACTGACTTTCCTGAGCAAGACACTGCCTCTGGCTTTCATCTGCACCATCAGCTTTCCCGAGTCTCCAGGCTGCTGGCCCACACTGCATATTTTAAACTCACCAGAATCCATACTTGCATGAACCAATTCCTTTTAATAAATATCCCACATATGAAAAAGCATGCTACTGGTTTTTTCTGGAAAACCCTAAATAGTACAGATTTGGATCATGAGGTGGGTGTCACTGTAACAACTACATAGAAATGGAGAAGTAGTTTTTTGAGTGACAACCTTGGATATTTAGCAGAGGAGATTTGTAAGGAAAGTGTTGAAGACACAATCTGGTATCTCCTTATTGGTTACAGTAAAATGCAAAAAAAGAAAGATGAGTTAAAGAAAAAATTGTTAAGTAACAGGGAATCAGGAACTAGAGTCAGAAAATTCTCAGGCTATCCCTATTGCCAAAAATGAGAAAGCATGTTACAGAGAGAAAAACTGCCATCTCAGCAAAAGCCCGGGAAGAGAGACAGGATTATTCCAGCAGAGACACTGGCAGGTTGGAGTAAAGGGGATGGACATGGAATAAAATAAAGTAAGACTTTTGGACTTCTGACAGCAGAGCTACCTGGGTGTAAACGTTCTTAGTCCTTCAAGAAAAGGATGACCCCAAGGGCAATTCAGTGACCGTCAGTGCTGCCACTGCCACCAAGACACAGTATATAAGTTCAGGGCAAGCATGTCTACTCCTTGATTTCACAGGGTAGGGCCTCTTTTATTAGCTACGGTGAAGCCAGCTGCCTCTGGCCACAGCCCTCAGGGGCAAAGCCGCCACCCTAGAGGGACTAGAGGGAAGAGTGTGGGGCCAAAGAGGATGATTCTTTAGCCTTAAGAGGTAATGGTATTTGCCTGGCTACGTTTTGGACTTGCGTAGAAGCTGTAACTTCTTTCTTCTGGTTTCTCCCTTTTGAAATGGGAATGTCTATCCTATGCCCGTACCATCACAGCTGGGAGGAATTGTGTCAGGATGGATCACACCTCAAGTCTCCCCTATACTTGTGTTGATGCTATTTAGATGAGACTCCGAACTTGGAGTTCATGCTGGAATGAGTTGAGACTTTCAGAGCTGTTGAGATACAGTGAATGCATTTTTGAAGTGAAGAGACATAAATTTGTTGGGGGTCATAGGGCAGAATACAATGAACTGAATTGTGTCCTCCCGCACCCCAAATCCGTATGTTGTTCTAACTCCCAAGACAACTGTATTTGGAGATTAGGCCTTTACAGAAATAAGTAAGGTCACAGAGTAGGGCCCTAATCCAACAGGACTGGTGTACTTCTAAGAAAAGAAAGAGACGGCAGGACTAAGTGCACACAGAGGACAAACCACGAGAGGACTCAGAGATGGCAGCCATCTGCAAGCCAAGGAGAGAGGCCTCCCCAGAAAACAACCCTGCTGGTGCTTTGACCTTGAACTTCCAGCCTCCAGAGCTGTGAGAGAATGAACTTCTTTCTGTTGTTTAAGGCACCCAGTTGGTGATATGCCCCAGCAGATTAATATACCTCTTAATGAATCTCAATTTTCACTGTACAACCCAATTTTCATACTGTCATAATTTTTCTTCCCTAAACAAAGATGTAATCGTAGAAAGTCCTCTCTAGGCTTTTAGTTGGTCATCATTCTATTTCAGGGTATCTCAGCTTCGGCAGAAATGACATTTGAGGCTGGACAATTCTTCACAGTGGGGGGCTGTCCTGTGCACTGTAGGATGTTTAGCAGCATCCCTGATCTCTACCCACAGATGCCAGTAGTACCCAACCCCCAAAAAAGGTCTTCACTCATTGCCAGATGTTGGGTGTGTGGTGGGGTTGGGTGCAAAAGGACCCTAGTAAAGAATAACTCCAACTGCTTTTTTTTTTTTTTTTTTGAGATGGAGTCTCACTCTGTAGCCAAGGCTGGAGTGTGATGGCGGGATCTCGACTCACTGCAACCTCCGCCACATGGGTTCAAGTGATTTTCCTGCCTCAGCCTACCAAGTAGCTGGGACTACAGATGTGTGCCACCATGCCTGGCTAACTTTTTGTATTTTTGGTAGAGATGGGGTTTCATTGTGTTAGCTGGGATGGTCTCAATCTCCTGACCTCGTGATCCACCTGCCTCCATCTTCCAAAGTGCTGGGATTACAGGTGTGAGCCACCACGTCCAGATCAAGTGCTTTTTATAATTAAAACATGAAATAATCAATGTTGGACTGTTTCAATTATCTTTAAAAATTGGAGTAAAATATATATAACATAAAATTTATCATTTTTCTTCATGTATCGTTTTCCTGATTTCATTTAGTTGTCTGAATTCTCTTTTAGCTCACTGAACACGTTTAAGACAGTTATTTTAAATTCTGTATCAGTTAATTCCGAAACTTACATTCGTTAGTGTCAGTTTCTGAATGTCACTTTAACCATTTTTTATATGTACAGTTCAGTAGCATTAAGTGCATTCACACTGTTGTATAAATATTACCACCAACCATCTTCAGAACATATTTCATCTTGCAAAATGGAAACTCTGGACCCGTTAAACAATACCAATCCCCGCCTCCTCTCAGGCCCTGGCAAGCACCATTTTACTTTCACTTACTCCAAGCATCTCATACAAGTGGAATCATACGATACCTGTCCTTTTCTGACTAGCAGACCTAAGCTGCCATAATATCTTTAAGGTTCATCCATGTTGCAGCACATGTGTCAGAATTTTCTTCATTTCTAAGAATGCATAATATTCTGTTAGCCATTACTTTAGCCTTCCTCTGCTGACATCTGGATTGCGTCTACATTTTGGCTAAGAATAATGCCGCTCGCCGGGCATGGTGGCTCATACCTATAATACTGGCAGTTTGGGAGGCCGAGGCAGGTGGACTACTTGAGGTTGGGAGTTCAAGACCAGCCTGACCAACATGGTAAAACCATGTCTCTACTAAAAATACAAAAATTAGCTGGGCGTGGTAACACGTGCTGTCATCCCACCTACTCTGGAGGCTGAGGCAGGAGAATCATTTGAACCCAGGAGGTGGAGGTTGCTGTGAGCTGAGATTGCATCACCGCACTCCAGCCTAAGCAATAAGAGTGAAACGTCATCTCAAAAAAAAGAAAAGAAAAAGAGAAAAGAATAATGCTACTATAAACATGGTTTTAACACTATCTGTTATATCCCTGCTGTCAATTCCTTCTGGGCATACGACCAGAGGTAGAACTGCTGAATCACGTAATTTTAAGTTTTTCAGGAACTGACACACCATTTTTTGAAGCAGCTGCATTGTTTTGTATTCCCAGTAGCAGTACACAAGGGTTCTAATTCCTCCAGATTTTCACCAACACTTGTTCTGGTCGTGGTGGCTTTGTTCTTTTAAATAACAGCCATCCCAATGGGTGTAAAGCGGCATCTCATTGTGGTTGTCATTTGACTTTCCCTGTAAGTCAGTAATACTGAGAACCTTTCATGTGCTTATTGGCCATTTTATCTCTTTGGAAAAATGTCTATTCAAGTCCTTTTCCCATTGTTAACTGGGTTTTGTTGTTGTTAGGAGTTTTCTCTATATCTTCTGGATATTAATCCCTCATCAGATGTGATTTGCAAAGATTTTCTCCCAATTCAGGGGTTACCTTGTTTCTCTGCTGATAGTATACTTTGATGCACAAAAGTT